AAAAAAAAAAAAAAAAAAAAAAAAACTAAGAGAACACTCAAACAGGTGTGGCGCCTACCTATTATTCCAGCACTCAGGAAACCGAGGCAGGAAGATCACAAAGTTTGAGGCTACCTAGTGAGTTCAACATGGGCCTGGACTACATAGCAAGTCCCTCTCTCAAGAAAAAAAAAAATAGGTAACCTGACTCTATAAGCTAACCTGTCACTGCACTTAATTATCTACGGCTTCACACCTGCTATAATTGAGCTGTGCACAAAGAGCAACAGGAACTATTTTTGTAGCCATTGGGGGTGGGGATCAAGGGACGAGATGATATCTGAGCAAGGCACTGCGAAGAACTAGCCAGGCCTATAAGGAGGACGGCATTACAGGGTGAAGGACCTGGGGCTTCAAAATGCACCCTATATCCCTATTGGAAATGGGCTGTGGGCAGAGAGCGGGGAGGACGAGTGGAAGGAATTATTGGAGTTGGTTCTAGAGGCCCTGGGGAGCCTTGATGAGCTTTCAACAGGGGAGTGGCAAGGTCAGCTTTCATTTGAACTGGATCACGATGTTGGTCCTCTGCGGAGCAGAGTGAGGGGGCTGAAGGCTGGAGCCGGACGAGGCAGGGATGCAGGGTCTAGAGGATGAGCTCAGAACCACTTCCGTGGAGGAGGACCTGGTGTGTCTCCACTCTCCTCTACCGCGGTCAGCACACAGCCTGAAGAAGTGCTTGGAAGGGCAAAGCACTCCAAGCAGAAATACTGCAGCCTAGGGCCAGGGATTTAGCTCGGTGGTGCCACCGCCTGCCTCACAAGCACAAGGTCCCGAGTTCGATCTCCAGTACCGTAAGTAAATAAATAAATACCATAAGAAAAGAAAGAAAGACGGCCTAGGTTGGATGGATACCCACTCCCGGTGCCCTCCAAATGAAGGCACCAATACCCAAAGTTCTAAAAAAGGACAGTGGCAAGTAAGGGGGCCTCATCTGTTTCCCCTGGCTTCTGGCCTCCAAGCGCACCCCCAAACACACAAACACCCGCCGTGCCAGGCACCCTCCGGGGGCCGCCACCTCAGCCTGACTTAGCTCGAAGCCCCTTC